AAAAAAAAAAAAAAAAAAAAAAGAGGTTTTTAATATTGGAAATGGACTCAAGAAATTGTTTCCTTTCATGTTCTGGCATTCTATGACTCTACAGAAGGCAAATATTGGATTTTTAGTAAATCTCAAGTTAACACAAACCTGTTGAAAATATTAGAGATTGACATTTTTAAATCTATTAGGTTTTATAGTCATTATCGTATTGTCCTGTGTGTGTTGATTACAAAAACAAAGAGTAGTCACTGATAATGTCCCATCGCACCTACTTTTTGTTTTGCAAACTGTCCCTGCTTTCTCAAGTTTCACTCACTTCAAGACATGTTCCCTAGCCCATCAGTCAGGTTTTATGGCCATTTTGTGGACTTCCCACAGGATCCAAGGCACACCTGAATCTTAGCCCTCAACCACACTAGAGGGTTGCTTTATCTGCTTCCCATTAGACTAAAAGGTCTCTGAGAGCAGAGGCTAACTCTTTATAGACTTTTCATACCCTCACCCTAGCACAGTGTTTGTGCATGAAAGAGAATTAGATACTCCTTAAGATCCAACAGAAAGTAACTCTACATCTTAATAAGATTCTGCACCCAGTTCCAATGTGTGCGTTTTTTCCCTGCACCAAGCAGTTCTCTGACACCAGCTGGGTGTCCTACAATTCAACTCAATTCTGACATGACCTACCTGGGATAGCATCAGATCCCAGAGGTTAAGGGCTCAGTCCTACAAGATTGCCCCCTGCCCCCACACTTCAGAAGCTAGTCGAAGGCCAAGTTGTCTGTCACCTGTGATTCTGACCAACCAGCTGTAGATTAGAGGTTTCAATGATCCCTTCCTTGGGTTTGATTAATTAACTAGAACAGCTCACAGAACTCAGAGAAACATTTTACTTACTAGATTAACAATGTGTTATAAAGGATATAACTCAGGAACAAGCCAGATGGAAGAAATGCATAAGGCAAGGTATGTGGAAAGAGCTCAGACTTTCCATGCCCTCTACAGGTATACCACTGTCCCCAAATTTCCATATTTTCGCCAATGAAAAGCTCTCCAAACCACATCCTTTCAGGTTTTTATGGTGGCTTCATTATATAGGCACCCTTGATTAAATCATTGACTGTTGGTGATTGGCCTCGGTCTCGGTACCTCTCCCCACCTGGGTGGTCACAGGAAGGAGAGAACAGTGAAAGTTTCAACCCTCCAATCGTTTGGTTGGTTCCACTGGCAGCCAGCTCAAGGAGCTTTGCAATAGTCGTCTCATTAGCAAAAGACACCTTTATCACTCTCAACACAGGAAATTACAAGTGTTTTAGGAACTCTGTACCAATATATTTATGATATATTTCTTATTATAAATCCATACTTAATAATTACCATTATTAATTACAATACCATACTTAATAATTACCATTACCATGAACAACAAAAATTAAATGTTTTTTAAGTCTTCATGGTCATTTTTAAAGCTCTTCTGAATTTCACATCATTTCTAAATGAATTTCTTTTAAATTAAGAGATAGTTTATTGACATTTCCTGAGCAGTCTGCAAATTCTTAAAAAGTGTACAATCACCATGGTTTCTTACCTGACTGTAATATGGCTTAATATTGTTTTGAAAAATTTCTCTGTGTCTGTCCTAGTTGCATTCATTGTGCTAACAGAAATACCCTACATGAATTCTCTGTTTCCAAAGTTAATTTGGCAACATCTGCTACAAGAAAATGGTCCAGATGGTTTTTGACATGGAGTGATAATAAACAAGTGGTCCTTTTCACATACTGCATGGTGTTTGCTGTAGTTTTCTATTAAAGGGATATGGTTTTTTAAAGGGAGGGAAAAAAATCAATTTCATGGCCACCAAGGCACACAGAAACATGTGTGACTCATGTGTCTAAATACCAAACCACTCTTTATAGATTCAGATGGGGTCACATTGCCAGGAATATCCCCTATGTTGCTGAACCATGACTCTTTCTGATATTTCAGTATCACTTAACACATGCTTTACATGTGTTATCTTACTATCAACAAGCCTATGTAATAAGTACTATCATCTCGATTTCTCGATGAAGATGTAGCTCAAGGTTATTAGTAAGTGACAAAGCATCTGACACTAAAGCCTGTGTTCCTAACTTCCACACAGTCTCCACACCAGTGGTTTCTGAGCATCCACTACCAGGGTGTGTTTCCAGTGGACAAGTTCCTGGGTAAGACTTGTTGTCCAGGCCTTCTTTACCTGCAAAGTTGCATGAGGGAACCTTGCCATACTTCTTAAGCCCATTGTCAGTCCCCTCCCCTTAGAGTAGCATATCTGTGTCCACCTTCCGAGGTCTCAGGCACAGAAGAACTGCACAGGGATGCATGAATGCATCACTTACCTAATCCCATATCCCTCTTAAATATCCAAATGATACATTAGTCCAGTATCTCACACAACATCTTCTGAAATACCTTCACCTCTGCCTGGGATCGCTGTCCCCCTATGCTTATATAAAACAGGTAGTCTGCATTCCCCTCCCCAAGGTTCTAAGGTTTTTATCCTCCTTTTGTCAAAATCCACTAGCAATCTAACTGCTGCACACTGAGCTGGGTTAAGAGACAGGTGAGCCCTAAAATAATGCAGGAAATGTAGCCAGACAGAATACTATATTTACCAAATTTCCTTCTACGAAGAGTGTGGCATGTAGTTGGGAGGAATATGTTAAGTCACTTGCAGATGGTTAGTAAGATCTCACAGGGCTGTATTAATGTGGTCACTAGATTGCCTGTTAAGGAGGAGGAATCTAGCTGGTCTCTGAGTTTCACTTGTAGGTGATGAGCAAGTTTAAGCCTAGAGTAGAGTGCTCCTAATAAGAGTGAAGAGGCTGAGGAGGCTGGCTCTGCCTCTCCCACAAAGCATGTTTTAATCTTTCCCTGACTGAAGACATCTCTTGAACAAATACTTAAAGAACAGGAGTTTGAAGAGGCACCAAACCTGAGGCCTGGGAATGCCATATGAGCCTGCCCTATAGTTTTCAGCAGCAGGTATGGCCTGAGCTGCTGCTGTAATGCCTGCATTCCATAAAACTGGTTCTAGAAATGTACACTTTTCTTAAACGTAACTAATTTTTTTACTTTCAATATTTATATCATCTGCTTTAAATATAGCCCTAGGCTATTGTTGCAAGAACACAAGAAAAACATCACAGTCTGGGTAGCTTTAAATGAAGAAACAAAACTATTATAAAACACTTAAATAACGTAAGTGCTTAAATA